GTCTGACGAAGGCATCAATTTTGTGGTAAATGCTAATGTTGGAATTGATCCTTTGTATTCTCTTGATCGGCTTCGAGAGGAGAACAATGCAATTGTTTTGGCAGTGGGAGCCACAAAACCTAGGTAAGTCATGAGCAGAAAGCAAATATTAGATGCCATTGTTGGATTCTGGATCCTCGTTAACAAATTTTTTTTTTTCGCTGGAGAAGTTTTGGTCTCTCAGGAAGTGATTTTTATTGTTAAGAACATTCTTACCTGCCTGATAGGAATACAATACTTTAATGAAGTGTTGGATGATATGGTTAACTTCAATAATTTTTTTTGCAGGGACCTTCCGGTACCTGGTCGGGAGTTGTCAGGCATCTATTTTGCTATGCAGTTTCTTCATGCGAATACCAAAAGTTTGCTTGACAGCAATTTGCAGGATGGTAACTACATATCTGCAAAGGGCAAGAAAGTTGTTGTCATTGGTGGAGGTGACACTGGAAAAGATTGCCTTGGGACATCTATTCGCCATGGGTGTAGTAACATTGTAAATCTAGAGCTTCTACCTGAGCCACCACGAACTAGAGGTCCAGGCAACCCTTGGCCACAGGTACGATCTTTCATTCTGTTGCTGCATGTTGATTTCAACCACTGCCCTATGGTTTTTTCAATTGTCTTTTTTAGGGGAGGGAGGTGTTGGGGGATTGTTTGGATCTGGATTATATTGTGCTTAATGCTTGTTATTTGTTTTGCTGGTTCATCTTATGTCCATCGATCTTTTACATAATTTCACGAACTTGGATAAAAATAACATGATCAAAATGCATGCCGGCTTGGGCACCTCACCCAAGTATAAGATGCCGTGAACCTGTTCTAATTCATTCTTTTGGCAGTGGCCTAGAGTATTCCGGGTAGACTATGGGCACCAGGAAGCTGCTGCCAAGTTTGGGAAAGACCCGAGGTCTTATGAGGTGTTGACTAAGCGTTTCATTGGAGATGAGAATGGGAATGTGAAAGGACTTGAGCTGGTACGTGTCCATTGGGAGAAGGATGCCACAGGGAAATTTCAATTTAAGGAGGTTGAGGGCTCTGAGGAAGTTATTAAGGCTGACCTAGTCCTACTAGCAATGGGATTCCTTGGTCCTGAGCCGGTTCGTATTTCCTTCCTCATCTTCTCCCTTCTTTTAAAATTGAGTGGATATAATCACATCTGATAAACACAAATTTCCATCATGTTATATTTATATTTAAAAATTAAGCACTATAGTAATTAGAATGTCAACAAATAGTATTTTATTAATAGAACTAAAAGAATTGTAAAAAAGATTGAAAATTCACCCTTAATTCTTTAATACTTGCACAACAATTCTCATGCTGCTTTTTTTCCCTCTTCGTTTTTAACAGAATGTGGCAGAGAAGTTGGGCTTGGAGCAAGATAATAGATCGAATTTCAAGGCAGAATATGGCCGCTTCTCAACCAATGTGGAAGGGATCTTTGCAGCTGGGGATTGCAGGCGAGGCCAGTCCCTAGTTGTATGGGCAATATCAGAAGGACGACAAGCTGCTTCCCAGGTGGACAAATATCTCATGAAAGAAGACGATGCCACCATTAACACCGATAATACACAGGATGACCTTGTCAAGAGGCACCAAGACCTCACCAAGAGACATCAAGACAGCAGCAAGCACACTGTCATGACGTAGACAACCCTTGAGTCCTTTTTCTTCTCTTCCTCAAGCAGTGCTGAAAAGGGATACACAGGATGCACATCATTCTAGGATCAATCATCTCATAGAATGATGCTGTGGAAGGAATAAATTGAAGATCACCAGAATGGTGCTTGGTTCCCACATGTGAACCCGGGGGACTTGGAATGATTGAGCAGAAGTGAGAAGTAGCATTGTGCAGCTGGTATAGAAATTAGGATATTTATGGTGCTCATTTTTATTTTTTTATAATAGCTTTCAACCAGCTTTGCTTGAAAATTGTTAAGCTCATTTGGTAGTTGTTGAGGAATAATGTACAGTTATGTTTATTGAAATATTTTATGGAAATATGTGGGAAATTGTTTTGTTCTGGATTGTCTAGTTATTTGTTCTTGAGTAACAGATACAGATTTTTTGGCAGAAAGATAACCTTGTGCCTTGTGGATTAGCTATATATATATATATATATATCTGTGTTTTTGTGTGCTTACTCCAAACCTGATAAAAACACCATAAACGTGCCATTTAAAAAAATAATAATACCGAGATGAATCGAATGATATGGTGTGACACTAGGGTTGTTGTCATTAATTTATATATATAAAAAAATACCGAAAAGAATCGAATGATATGGTGTGATACCAAGATTATTGTGATTTATTTGATGGATGGCATGCAAATCGAGGTGTGAAGAGAGAAATGTGATTTATTAGTATAGGGGTTTTTTTGTTTTTTCTTTTACTTCTCCTTATAAGTAAAAATTATTAATATCTATTTCTTTCTTTTTTTTTCTTGTTTTTTTTTATACTCAAATATGTATTCTTCTTTTTTATTTTTTTTCTTCTTAGTTTTTTAATTAATATACTTTATAATATTTTTTTTCTCTTTTTAACTTTAGTTACAACCATATTAAGATTTTTTTTTCATGTTTTTTCACTATATTTATTTTTATTTTATTTTTAATTTTTTTCTTAATAATTGAATGAATATTGTTGAAGGTTTTTTTTTAATATGAGATCAATTTTTAATTGATTTATATATAGGATTTTTAAATTTTTAGTAATCTCAACTTTATTTTTTTCATATGAATTTTTTTTGTTGAATTTATTTCTTCATGTTATTTATTTGTTGTATATTTGTTTGAGTTGATTTTCTTCTTATTTTTCCAAGTGTTTTCAGTATTATAAAACGTTGATTTATATTAATTTGATAATTTTATAGTTTTGTAAAATTAATTTTTTAAATATTTTTAAATAATTATTGACAAAATTATATATGATATTTTTATGAAGAAAATACCAATGTAATAAAGTGAATATTTTTTTTAAGTGCCTTTTCTATCAACAAATTTATTAGTAATAATATTTTTTTATTCCATCAACAAATCTATTAGTAATAATATATTTTTTTATTACCAACAAATTTATTGATGGATAAAAAATTACCGATAAAAAATTTATTCATGAAGTATTTTTTATATTAATTTTATTAGTAAATTAATTATAAATAGAATATTAATATAAATATCAAATTCATATATATAAAGATTGTGGCAGTGATAAATTTAATATAAAAGGGGACCGTTTAAAAGCTTCCAAAGAATCCTCGAGGAAATAATTATCGAGAACTGTTATCCTGGACTGAGCTGGGGTTTACAACATGAGCTGGGGTTCACTGTTGTAAATTCTTGCCGGTTGTTTGGTTGAATAAGGCTAATTCATGAACAGTTCTTCCATGTCATATATTTTTACGTGATTTCGTCAAAATGTTCAGCGTCCTGAAGCCTCAAGATGGCAAAACACGTCTTCCTCGCCTGGACAGCCTCAGTTTCCCTCTCTGAGACTGGTACTGTGCATTCAGGCTGAAGAGAAGCTTTGCCCCCTTCAGCAGTATTGGCTGGTGGTGCGGGAAGCTTTATTTGCACAAGCTTGTCTGTGTGTAAGAGGAATGGTGTTTGCTGAAGAGTTAAGATTGTGAACTGTGCTGGATATGTAGAAGCCAGCTGAGATGGTTTACGGTAAGCCATGAAGCTTGACGGTAACAATGGTAATCTGGAGAAAAAAAGCATGAATGAAGGTGGTGAGAAAAGGCTTGTAGAAGCATCAGAATACTGTACCACCAGAGCCTTGACCTTGTACCTTTGACCTCTACCATCAACTGTTTTTAAATGTGATTACAGTTATTTTTTTAATTTTTTTTTAATATTAACAAATTAAAATAATTTAAAAATATTAATTTAAAGTAAAAAATAAAAAAATTCAAATATTAAAAAAAACCCTTAAAAGTACAAAAAACAAACAGAAAATATATATAAGATCATCAATAATATAACCAGAGATTAATTTCAAAAATCACGCCTTCGTGGGAATTTAATGCCTCGAATTCTCATAAATGTGTTTCGCATTGCAATTGTTATTGCTATTAGAGTTTGAGAAAAAACATAATATACAAAATATAATTTAGATATTTCAAGAAAAATAATTAACTTTATCAAAGGATTAACTTATACTTTCTTAAAACACATTAGAACTAACTTACAGATTCATACAAACATTAGGGACTAAATTACAATTTACTTCTTCAAAAATTACGTGCTCCTTAATTTATATCTTTCTAGCACGTGGCAGGTTATAGGATCAGTACGTGTCAACAAAACAGCCCTGAAACAGCGCCGTGGTCTGTCTTAGTCTCTCTCTCTTATAAAAACGTGATAGGTTTTGTTTTTCACTTTAGCAGATGCAGAGAGAGAGAGAGAGAGCTAAACAAGAAACCCAAAAATGGCAGCAGGAAGAAGAATCAATCTGAACCGTCTGTTTTCATCATTAGCACCATCATCATCTTCAAACACGATCTCCAGAACTGGGGTCATAGAGACAATCCCCGTTAGATCCGAATACACGGACCGGATCGTGAAGCTTTCAACCCAGCAGCTGCCACAAGAAAATCAAGATCAAGAAACTGTCAAGAAACAAGAACAGGAAGAAATAACCCATCAAGATTCTCAAAATGAAGAAGATGATGAAGATGGTGGAGAGTATGTGAATAAAGAGACTGGTGAGATTGGTGGGCCGAAAGGACCTGAGCCTACTCGATTTGGTGATTGGGAACGTAATGGTCGTTGCTCTGATTTTTAGATTTCTTTTTTCCTTTTTTTTTTGTTTTTATTAATGCTAGTTTAATTTTGGATCTTGCTAATAATATTGATTGTAGTGATTTTCTGGGTTGTAACCATGAATCATCAAAGTTTACGAAATGGGCTGTAGCTGTTGTTCAATCTTGTTGAGTGTTAAATGGAACATGTGGTGTTTTTCAACTCTTTAAGATTGTTGTCATTTTCTTGTAGCCCACATTATTTTGCTTATGAAGAGTGCTGCATGGCTTATTTATGCTGTGCCTGTGCCTTTGCCTGTGCTTCCGTCTAGTCCTACAAGAACAGGTGATAAAGCCTATTTGGACAGAATGGGATGTAGGTTACTACTTCTTATATGCCTTCTAGTGGTTATAAATTGTTTCGTTTATGTATTGTCTTCTGGATGGCTTTAATAGGATTGGGCAATTCTTCATGGTGGATCTGCCGTCGCAGATTGTTGTTAGGCAAAATGTGAAGAAAAATTGCCGCCTTCTGGGTTTTAAAAGGATTGCTACGACTTCTAAGCAGTCTAGTTGTCATGAAATCTCTGGGAAAAAACTGGCAGCTGGCTGGTGGAAGTTAAATGTAGATGGTAGCTCATTGGGCAATCGGTACGGGCTGGTGCTGGTGGAGAAATTCCAGATGGGCACTCTGAAGGGAGAGTGGTTGCAGACTTCTTGAGGTTGAGTCAGATCCCATAGAGAGGCTGTTGGAATACTTAATTCAAATCCCGCTGATTGCCACACCCTTTTGCACTTGGTGAATGGTTTTGAGCAAGATATTCGAGATTTTGGAGAGTGAGATGCAGCACCAGTTTAAAGGGGGGTACTTTTGTGCAGATTTATATGGCTTGTTCTGGTGCAGTCAAGAGTCTCTTCTGGCAGAGCGGAACTCCCCACCTCCTGGGCTCAAGCTAATCCGGCAGGCTGATGCTATGGAGATTACGAGTCAGGCTGAAACAGGACCAAGTGGATCTTAACCTTGGTTCGTTATTTATACAATGTAGCCACCATAATTGACGAGTTTTAACTTCATTTTTTAATATGAAGTTGAAAATTTCAGTTTCATCCCCAATTGAAGTAGTAACCAATGTGCATTCAGAATCCAATCTGCAAATCTTCTCAAAAGGTATTCAAATATATATGCATTCTCGTCCATCCTGCCATAATTGATCTTGGAAGACAATTTACTTAAAAAATTTCTTATCAATGTCATCTCACATACGCAAACAAGTTTCAGTCAACCATGTTATGATTGGAAATCTCGATAAGAGAGATACCATCTCGCAAATGCAGAAATTTGGATGGTCGGCGGCGAACACATGATCACCTATTGATTCTATAAAATTGATGGATACTGAGCTGGTTAAATCTAATGTAAATCTAGTCGAATTAATATTTTATAAAAAAATAAAATCCTATTATTTTAATAAACGTAATTGATATAAAAAATCTAATGACCTTTACTTTTTTTGAAATCAATCTTCGATTATATCCATTTAATTGTAAAAATATTGTGCTAGCTCGGCAAGGACAATCATGGCTCTACAAATCATGGTAGAATTTGTATCCACATGAGTCAAGAAGTGATCGTTTTCTCCATATCTAATCGATTGAAATAAGCAATCACAGCTTTTTCCTACATGTAGATCCTATTTGACACTAGAGAAAATGAAGCATCATACATAACAAATTGAATCCTTGGTTCTGTTATGATTTAACGACAGGGTTGACTTCCATTTTTTTTTTATTACAAAAGATGTCCTGGTAGACTTGTTCCTTCTATGTGGTTGTGTGATTAAGTTCCAACATTGCAGCAAGTGGAACCTGCACTAGTATAAACCCCCCTCTACTCTTCTCTTTATTAAAATCTTTGCTCTTCATTTGGTCTCTGCATATCACAAAGCATCAGATTTTCTCCACCAAAATGGTGCTCTCTCTCAAAGTCATCTCCTCCATCTCCCTCATCGTTATCATGATCTCCTATCTAAACATTGCAACAAGTCAAAACATTTGCTTGATGACTGCTTGTAACCGCACCGAGCCAGTGATTCGATTCCCTTTTCGGATTCAAAATCGTCAATTGAAGGCATGTGGTTATCCAGGTTTTGACATATCCTGTGGTGGCTCCAATGAGACCATGCTAGAGCTACACTCTTCAGGAAAATTTGTTGTTCAAGCTATAGACTATGGCACACAAGAAATATGGATTAATGATCAGGGAAACTGCCTTGCCGATCGAATCCTTTCTCTTGATCTCTCTGGCTCTCCTTTTATTGGCCTTTACTATCAATCTTTCACGTTCTTTAATTGCTCATCTTCTGATTATAGGAAATACGGGCTAAATCCAATAGCTTGTCTTAGTGGCTCTACGTACACAGTTTTTGCTACATCTTCTTCAACGGTTGTAAGCTCTCTACAGAATGGGAATTCATCCTGTAATTTAATCAGGGTGGTTCCTGTTCCAGTTGACTGGTCATTTAATCAGCAAATTTCGTCCTCGGACCTTAGCGAGGACCTGCATCTCACTTGGGAAGAACCTGACTGCGGAAAGTGCGAGTCGAGGGGGGGACGGTGTGCCGTCAAGACCAATTCTAGTAAAGTTGTTTGCTCAAATCTTCCTCATCATGGTAATTTGCTTCATACTCTCTATCTGATCTTTGCCTAATTTCTTCCCCCCCCAATTATCTAGTAGTAGACATGGTAAAAATAGCTATAAGAACAAACTTGATCAGGGGACTCAATCCAAGACTCTGGTTTAGGGTGGAGTGAATTGACCTCTGAGTTATTGTTTTTTTTGGTAAATACATTAGGTGCGCAGAGCTACCTAGAAACCAATTGAAAAAAAATAGAAAATCTAATCTTGATTTAAGAAAACTATATATGAACTTAGAGAAAAAACAATATTGTTGTTGGGTTATAATTTGATTTTTGATAAAGATGGAATGAATATTTTGGAGAAGCCTCCTATAACATTCTTACACATAGTGCATGATCATGCTGAAGTTACTACAAGATTAGATTAAATAAATAAACAAGATGGCCTCCAAGCGAGTGATTGGCTGCCTTGCTAGAGCTGAAGTGTCGACCAGTTATTATATATACTATATTTCTCCAAGAATTGGTCTGAAGAAATGTAAAATCCTCCTCCTCGCTTGAAATGGATTCAACACCTTCCAGATTGCAATCATAATTTTTGATGGTTGACTCAGACTATTTCCCATTTGGCCACACTAGCAAATTATACCTAATGCAACATGTAACAAGGACTATACAAGTTCTCATTGGCTAAGATATCATAGTTTTTGTGATTTTAGTTTGAAAAAATAGATTTAAAAAAAGATTAAATCGCAATCTTTTTATAATTAAGTTTTTAAGATAAAGTTCTCAATTAAAACCATGCAAAACTGTAGTATATATTAATTAGTTAAACACTTTTAAAATTATGATTATAACAAAACATAGTTTCAACACATCCTTCTTAATTTTCTAGAGGGAGTAAACCTTGTCCTAGGAAAATGAGTGAGTGGCAAATATTTTTCGATCTTTGTTGAGACTTGTGTTCTCTTGTTCGTCTCAATTAAACTTGAATAATTGAGTTTTTATGGGAAGGATTAATATTCAATAAAAATAACATTACTCTTCCTAATAGTAGAATTATACCGTAAACTAATCTAGAGGCTACAACATGGTCAGAATTTCCAAGTTCAGCTCTCTATGCCATCACCACAGCAGCTGGGATACCAGGGGCATTAATCATAGTAGGTCTCCTATGTTTCATCTGTGGCAGGGTCAAATACTGTGATAGAAGCAGCAGCGAATCAGGCGGTCTGCCGGAAGTTGATTCCACGGTTGATACAGAATCTGTAGTTATTATTGCTGGGTTGGATGGACCAACAATAGAGTCCTATCCCAAGATAGTCCTTGGCGAGAGCAGAAGGTTGCCTAAGCCTGATGACAACACTTGCTCAATATGCTTGTGTGAGTACAAGCCTAAGGAGACGCTCAAGACAATTCCTGAATGCAAGCATTGCTTCCATTCTGATTGCATTGATGAATGGCTTCGGTTGAATGCTTCTTGTCCCATCTGCAGAAATTCTCCTGAAAGATTGCCACCAGCTGAATCTTGATCAAAGCTATTGTATCGGGTCACACTCCTTGCTTGCTTGTGTTAGAAACTTAGAATATTAATATTGCTTGTAAAGATCTATTGTCCATCTTCTTTTGAAACAGCTGAATGTTGAGAAAGAGGAGTCGGGTTCTATCATAACATGGATGATGATGCCTAGGTTATATTTGTAACATTTCCACTAGTTATTAGTCTTTAAGAGATCATTTTGAAGTTTGAAGGCAAAATGGCAAGTCTGATACTTCTATATGATAGAAAAGTGCACGCAGGATTGATCTAAATGACTGAAGAGATCATCTACCTGTGCTGAGTTCTTTAAACACTTCCAGTTGAGATTACAAAAGGGGCGGAAGGTCTCTAAAAAAAAAAACAGATTGAGATGCCTGAGGTACAAAGGCAGGCGGATGCCTTTCCAAAGTAAATTCCAGAGTAAAAGTGAGACTCTGTATTTTATTTGCACCAACTATCAGAGGAAGTAGCAGGCGAAAGAAAATCAACGGTTGAAGGTTCAATGAAAGGACGTGGATATAGCAGTCGAGGAGTGTGCAGGTTTTCAATAACAAAATCAAAGTAATTAAAAATCAAGAGGCCGGTGATACCAGTACAAGTTTTCAGAAAAAACAAGGGGCATAGGTTGCTGTCCAAATTAATTGCTGCAGAGACATAAAATATTGAGATTTCTTTTTCTGTTTCAAAAATATGTTTTTATAAAAACAATATATATTTTTTAATTTTATTTATTAATATCAAAAATAATTTTTTTAAAAATAAAAATATATTATTTTAATACATTTTCAAATAAAAAAACACGTTAAACAACCTCATAACAATATTAAACATATTTAAGATCGAAAGATTTCAAAGAAAAAAAAAAAGAAATTCAAGGATTCAAGGATTTTTAGTAACCTTTCTTTGATATCTTTTCAAAGAAATCTTTTCAAATACCCATCAATCCAGCAAGAAATATGTGTACCTATAGTTGATCATGGATTTCCGGTATGCTGTAATGTCACTAGGACCTTTAATGACAACTTTGTCATGCATGGTGATCTAACTCTTGGATACACAGCAGCATAGATTTTTTTGTACTTCAGTGCAATGTTTTTTTTTTGATGAAATAACAGCCAATGAAGTATTAAGAAAAATAACAGATGATATCTACAACTCATGGCTAGCATGTGTCCTCTAAAACTGTAAAATGGTACGCCAAAAATAAATGGAGTAGAGAGAGGAGAGTGAAAAAAAAAGAGGAGGAAAAGATTTCTTAGACATACCAAAACTGTGAGAATAACACTATGAGTATCATTGAAAAGATATTGAGTAGACGAATACAACGAGATCAAGAAATATCATTAATGAAGACGAGACCTTGCTTGTCTTATGACTGTTGCTATGTCTCCCAAACCTTGCTTCTTGGCAATGATCTTTAAGTCCAATTCATTGGCCTACATGGACCAACATGAACAAGCAAAACAAAGAGAGATCCATCACCAACACTAGTTCTATGGAGCTCCATTTCAGTTCACTAATATTGACTTGAAATGCTACAAGGACTTGGGCCTTGTTGATGTAGATGTTTTGAAATCAATGCTATTAAAAATTACTATTCGCTGATGTGAGGATACCAATAGTCGTGTGATTTTCTTTAGGAGCATGAGTTTTCTCTTAATGATAAAAAGAATGCAGAAGCTAGTGCCTGCCATGTGCAAAAGATCAATAGTTTTGAAGGTGGGACTCCATTAGTATTTGAAAAATTTGATGTCCATGGGAGAATGGTATAGATAGCTCCCGAGACAAGGGAAGATGGGAAAAAAGTTTCGAAATCAAGCACTATTTTACTGACTATAGAAAAAAAGAATATATATGTCAGCATTGGTAACGTCAGAAGTTCCAGCTTGCACATGTATACATGCTAAACTCACTTTCTCAGATGTTTGCAGCAAGGATCCTTTTTGGAGGTCTCACAGGCATAGCCCTTCTCTTTCTGATATGTCTCCAAGTCCAAATTTGCACATCACAGATTAATCATCTTTGTGCTCCATCTTCTTGGTAATCTCCATAACATCAGCCCTCCTTTTCGGCTAGAAGGAGATCCACCAAACTGTGATTAATCTTTATATGAGCTCGTTTGTGAGAAAAATCAAACATTCCTGCACATGTATTCAGGAAAATACCTTGTACAGTCCATCAATTACCATATCTCCATAATTAGAGTTGTCGACGCCCGTGTTAACAAGGATACCTTCTCCTCTCTCCCTCAGCATTCTTTGACGGGAAACAACTTCAGTTGTGAAGACCCTTTTGCCTGGCTTTGATTCACTAAAGAGTCACGTCCGCTAATAATTTTCATGAAGTGTGCAAATCCAGCGAAGTCTCCTCTTTATGCGAACACATCTCCTTGGAACACTCTTATGTTCTAATTACTGATAATATGAAAAAAGTGGAGCGCTTGTGCGGAGTGAAGGTGACTGCTAAGACTTCATTTCCGATAAGATATCACAGAAACATTTCCTATAGGGACATCCGCAAAAGGCTTGTTTAAGGATTTAAACTTGGATGGTATGGAATTAAATGTGGTATTTGCAGAGGAAAGGGGAGGTGCTACATTGAAAACAAAGGTCGTACCTCAACAGTTTTCTTGTAACAATTTTCTCTGATCTGTTAATTTCATGTTCTTATTTGATGATTTTATTGTATTGTCATTTTGTTTTGCAGATATTGTTGTTGCTGAAGAATTTCTGCAACATCAGAATAACTTCATACCAATAAGATACTTTTACTCAGAAATTAAGAAATGACCTATGGTTTTAAGGACAGGTTGGGTTAAGTAGGCTATGGCTCTGTCTATAAAGGGAAGCTTTATAGCGGATTTCTTGTGGCAGATGTTGGACAAGTCAAGTGCAAATGGCCATGAGTTGATAAACGAAGCAGCAACAATCGGAAGGATTCACCAGGTTAACGCAGTAATAATAACTGTTTTTTTCCACCAAGGGATCAAAACGTGCCCTTTTCTACGGGTTTATTGCGATCACTAGATATATGTGTTTTTCCTGGAGAAGGGGATACTTCCTGAAGCTGGGAGAAAATGTATGAGTTTTCTCTGGGGGCTGCTTGAGGGATTGAATACCCGCATGGAAGTTGTGATGTGCGAATCCTACACTTTGATATCAAGCCTCACATCATACTTCTTGATGAGAACACAACGAAAATTTCTGATTTCAGACTTGCAAAATTGTATCCTACAAATATCAACGCTGTCACTCTTACTGCAGCATGAGGAACAATAGGATACATAGCATCAGAACTGTTCTACAAAAGTCTTCCTAATGTTTCCTGCAAAGCTGACGTTTGTAGCTTTGGAATGTTGTTAATGGAAATGGATGGATAAAGAAAGAATATGAATCCGGCGGCAGAGAGTTCCAGCTAAAACTACTTCACTTCCTGGGTTTATAAACAAATAGTAGACGAAAAATTTGAAATCGGCGATGCAGCAGAAGATGAAAAGAAAATAGCAAAGAAGATGATCATAGTCGCATTGTGGTGCATACTGATGAAGCCTATAGATCGTCCTCCAATGAATAAAGTTGTGGAGATGCTTGAATAAGAGATTGAAAGCTTAGAATTGCCTCCCAAGCCTGTTCTTTTTCCAGAATAAAAACCTGTGCAGTAGATAGATTTTACAGATGAAACGTGGTCATGCTGTATGCTACTTGACTGTAGAGACTCAGTAGTTTAATTAGAAACTCTGGTTGAATTGTTGAATTTGAAATGACCCATTTTACCTGCACAGTCAATTTTCTTGATACTGATAAATTGTAGTTTTCGAGATGCCTTAGAGGCGGTTTCTTTGATCAGTTGCATTGATCAAATGGGATGCATATAATCAAACTTGAATAAAATCTTCACTGAAGTTGGTAGCTAATGAGGAATCTTCCCCTTTTTGGTAAAACAGATTTCTGCATTAATTTACAATACTTTGATCCAATGGTTGCATCTTGCCTATACTCTTCACTGTATTTCATATACAATATTTGAAGTCTCTGAAGCAGATTTAATTATGATTTTAGTAAGATTCAACAATTGTTACTGACAATGGTCATTGCTGTTAAATATGATTTTGTTTGTCAGTTTCATTTTTTAATTTTTGATGTAGCATTCAAAGATCAGAATCCATGAATAAAAGAAAATATACTCCTGCTAAAGGAGTTGTGTACTGCTGATCATTCCATGGTCAATTTGTTTCAGAGATCACTTCCAAAATCTGATGAAGAGGTCTCCCTGGTAAATGTGATTTCATTCTTCCTTGACCCGCCGACGAAAGAGGGCTAGGAGGCATTGTTAATTTGTCTCCTCCTCCTTCCAACATTTGAACTACAGTAGTCATTGAGGGACGCTCCACAGGGTGCCACTGAATGCACCATAAACCAACAATTGTCAGCTTCTTTGCAATTTGTGCATCTCCCTCCTTTTCAATCCGGATTATCAGCTCTTCTCCGTTATCCAGGCTGTTGTAGACCCATCCAGGGAAGTAGATTTGGGTGTTGTTCTCTACTTCTTTATCGACAGTTTTCCTTCCTCCAACCATTTCAAGCAACACCATTCCATAACTATAAACATCTGACTTGGAGGACACATTCCCAAAGTTCCTAGAGAAAACTTCAGGTGCAATGTACCCCATGGTTCCTCTAGCTGTAGTCATGGAAACAGCACTCTGATCCTTGGAACATAGTTTCGCCAGACCAAAATCAGAAATTTTTGGACTGAAATTATCGTCTAGCAAGATATTATGGGGTTTGATGTCGAAATGGAGGATTCGCTGATCACAACCTTGGTGAAGATACTCTATTCCCTTAGCTATGCCAAGAGCAATATCCTGAAGCTTCTCCCAACTAAGAGGACAGGTCTTGCCGTGTTCTGAAGATACAAATTTCTCTAGTGATTCATTTGGCAGGTAGTCGTAAACTAGAGCTCTTCTAAATCCATCAGCACAGTAACCGACTAATCGAACAATGTTGACATGATGAATTCTTCCCATTGTTCCCACTTCATTAACGAACTCTTCACCATTCCCTGTTGAATTGTTCAGGATCTTCACAGCTACAAAGATCTCATTAGAAAGCTTTCCTTTAAACACAGTTCCATATGCTCCCTGACCCAATTTCTCCTTGAAATCATTTGTAATCCTTTTTATGTCAGCATAAGTGTATCTAGCGGGCTTGAGAGCTTTATAATCTGCCAAAAAATTCTCAATCCTTTTCTGATGTTGTTTAGCTGCTTTGTCGGAGCTGTAGACACGATAGAGCGCAAAGACTATCAGCAGCAGAATAGCTGAACCAACAGTTGTAACTGCACATGAAACATTTCTAGTCAAGAAAAGACATTCTAGATAGTTTAGCAGATGCTAGGCAAAGAAAGAAGCTCAGAATGCCAAATTTGGAGAAATCTTACCTGCAGCCACTATCTTTTTTATTATGCCTGCACAAGAAAATGGACTGTCAGCTTCTCAGACATTTGACAATCATACTTCATGGCTTCTATGAAATCATGACTAATTAGCACAAGTAACTGATGCTCAACATTTATCAACACAGTCGACCTACTGACAAATGGACCGATTTGTTTCCAATTAAGAATACTTTTAAATTTTGAAAAGCTGACTTATCCTATAGATGATCCTAATAAGGACAGAAAAGGTGAGCAAATCCCACTGTATATCAATACAACAACTCACTAAATAGTTCTGGCTAAAAGGAGATTCTGCACCCAAACATTCCCCAAGCAACATCTGCAAATCACCAATACCCAAAACAGTGTGTGATAAAGCACTGCAACCATTCGTCGCCACTTCTACAAACCACCAATGCCAAGAGTAGCATTGCTCATGCTAGGCCAAAACGAACATGGTTCAAGAGCTAGACTGTGAAACAAGACTGATGAAACTCAGAAATATCAACATATAAAATGCCATGCTGCTGCTTGCCAAAACCCTTATAGCTGCTCCTGCTGCTATTGCTGTTGCTGCTCCTACAGCTGAGAATAATCTCAATTGCCCAAGATTACCTGAATCACCACCTCCCAAATTTATATCCATCACCAAAATTCACCCCTTGAAGTCCAAGCTCCGATTTGACTGTGTAAGTACTAGTAGCTCAAAACAAGAAACTCCATTCCGCCTTAACTCGCTAAACCCTACAAATCCACCTGTATTATACCCAAGACAACTCCCCTCGCAAGATCACCATCTCCTCTAACTAGTCCCCTGACAACGCCTTCAACTGTTTAACCATTACCAACCTGAACTTTCTCTGTAGAACACTAAATTCCAACAACCAAATTGCAGGCCTTCATCCACCTCAATGCCTTAGCCACAAACAGGAAAACTGAGCTAAAAAACAACTAGAACACTTGCCTTTTGCAAATGAAAGCAACAGGGCAGTGAGACCAGATGCAGCAGCAGGTTGTAGAATATCAATTATCAAAGCGAACAACTCAAAGCACTAACTTATCATATTCCTCATCCATAGATCCATTAGAAAGGATCAAAGCAGGATCCAATCAAGAGCAAACAAGACGATGGAAGCTAGAGGTGGGTTTAAAGTGTTTTTGATGGGTATTTCAACAATTCCAATTAAGAATACTTAAATCTTATTTTCTTAACTAAACAAATAATCCAACAGTTCCAAAATAAACACACAATTTGGATTGGCTTAAAAAAAACTAAAGCAGAAAGTGTAAGACAAGCTATACCTTCATTTGATTTAGGCTTGTCATAGCATTCAGTCTCGATCCTATCTGTGTTATTCTTCAATCTGCAGAACTTACCCAGAGCTCCACAAAGTCCACATGCCGGTCTTGACCAATTCAAATGAAGAATGTTGTCCCTGCTATTTAAATCATCTGGAACCGAAGAAAGGCTATACATCTTGCTACAAGAAGTCAGGTCGAAATAAGTAACGATACTACCAGACGTAAAGGCATAAATATCATATCCTGGAACACCAAGGCAAGACGTCCATAGATAAGAGTCTCTCTGCCTTGAAGTGCAGTTGAAAAAGTCCAAGTCCCTCTGTAACCATGCTGCAAATTTGAAAGCAGATGTTGATAAACTGAAGTTCAAGAGCTGCCTTGGAAGGCAGTTTTCTGGATCAGTTGCAGTGATCAACTCTGATGCATAATCAATATTCTTGATGTAGAGTTTCACTGAAGTTGGCAGCTCCAACAATGTTTCTTTCCTGTCAGTGCAAGATAGATCAAACCCAGGATAGCCACAGTAATCTGGCTGCTTGCCTTTGATTCTGAACGGGAATCTTATGACTGGACCATGCTTCTTACACCTTGCTTCTTGGCACATATCTTTAAGTCCAACTCCATGGCTTACAAGGAGTAGCAATAACAAGCAAAGTAAAGAGAGATCCACGTCCATGACTTGGAATATTTTCAGCTCCATGCCCCAGATCTGATCTTAAAACATCCTTGTTGGTTTGCCTTTATCTCCACTGACTCGCAATATTTCCTTTGACTTGGCTTTATTACTCTATTTGATCAATGCTAGTTTATGAGCATTGAATTAGTGTTTCTTAATGCCTGCAAGTCTGGATACCATTATTTTTCTTTTCCTTTTGGGTGATGACGTGTAACTGCTAGGAAAAAGGTCAAATATGTCATCTTGAGGAACCACTAGTTTTTTTTTTTTTTCGTTTTAGAGCACGTTATTTTTTTAGGTTGAAAAAATAATTTTTCAAAATTTTTTTATTTTAAATTAATTTTATTTTGGTATCTTTTATTTTAATATATTGATATTAAAAATATTTTTTTTATTAAAATATTATTATGATACATTCCTAAATAAAAAAAATATTAAAAAATAATCATTATTTAAATACTAAGCATACGTTTAATAGAAAAATTTATAGATTGTTACTACGAAAGAACTAGGAAAATATAGTACACTAGTTTCTGATTTTTTTTTAATTAATTGTTATGACTCAAATTCTGGATCTGTGATCGGCAATGCAGAAGTAGTGTCCAAAAAGACACGTCACCTATACTAAGTCTAAAAAAAGATATATCAAAAGAATAATTTATTTAGAAATACACAATATTTCATAATTTTCATAAATATTATATTATTCAATATTGATAAAATTAAAAGATAGTTTAAAACTCCTCATCAGTAATTAAAAAAAAAATGATCCATAATACTCATTACATTGTCAAAATCCAAACTTAATTAAAACAAGGTAATATTGGAACGTCTAAAATATTGAATCAAAACTAAAAGGAAAACCTCGCAAAATAAACAAGGCATACCAATCAAAATTAAAGAAATAGAAACACTAAATAAAGTTCACCTGCTATCAGAAACTAAGAACTTGAAATAATATTAAGAATGAGAGGTGAGTTTAACTAATTCAGTGAGGGAATAACATTTAATATACATTTTAGATATTTGAGATATTAATAGTTTGCAAATTGATTTATCTTTATATACATATCATATACATATACATACTAAATATATTATCATAAAGTAGTGGAATACATGTTAGAGATTAGATGGGACTCAAAGGTGACTAGATAACACCCAAGGGTAACTAGATGACACTCAAAAGTGACAAGATGACAGTTGAAGGTGATCACTGTGGGATGATCAGTTGCTATAAGCTGATGTCTCTCTCACCAGTTAGGTATATATAATATTATATGCACATAAGCTAACTACTCTTCGTTAACATGAAATTATTGACAAGTCTTATATCAAGGTATAATTGATATTTACAAAATTAAAAAAAAAAAACATATATCATATTAATAAAATTTAGTTTGACAGATTGCGAGTGCAAATTCAAGAATAAATAAGTACTAGAAAAATGAAGTAATATATATAAGTATTCACGAAATTAACTAGGTGTACTCATTGTATAATCAACATATATATAAGATTATCTTACTCATCTAGAAGAATATAAATTTAAAAAATATCAGACGAAAGACCCGAAAAACATATTGAGAATCGTTAGAAGAACCTACAATAAATGTACAAAATATACTTAAAAGCAACTCAAAGCAACACAAATAAGAGCATCTCCAATGAGAGATGCTATTTTAAAGTGGTAAATTGATAAAATAACATTTTGAATAATATAAATATAGCTTTTTTCACCGTGTATACTTCAATATATATATATATATATATATATGATTATCCCACTCATCCACAAGAATATAAATTAAAAAAATATCAGACGAAAGACCCAAAAAACATATTGAGGATTGTTAGAAGAACCTACAATAAATGTACAAAATATATTTAAAAGCAACTTAAAGCAACACAAATAAGAGCATCTCCAATGAGAGATGCTATTTTAAAGAGGTAAATTGATAAAATAACATTTTGAATAGTATAAATATAGCTTTTTTCATCGTGTATACTCCAATGAAAAAAAGCCATTTGGAAAGCCAATTCCATTAGAGTGAAATAAATAAATGTTTTATTTTTTATTAATGATTTTGATGTTATTTTTTTTTCCATGTGGCTATATTTAATTGGCTTATTTTTTTGTTAGCTCTACTTTATTAATTTTGGCTCTTTTAAGAAATATATAGGAATAACATTTGTGAGAAAGAAAAGGTATTTTAGCATTTTGTTTGACTTTCCCCTTAGAGTATGAAAAACAAGTAAAAAATCAAAATATTACTTTTTTATTTTTGGCTTTCCATTTAGCACCTCCATTGGAGATACTCTAATAGATTTCAATGCATAAAAGAAAATCAGATTTAGTCTTCTAGGTTTAGGGATTAAAATGACAGTTATCCAAAATAAGGACCAAAACATAATTTCACCAAAACTGGGCCAAATTGTAAATATATAACTATATTGAAATTTCACCCATAAACCATCCTCAATTTTTTCTAGAACGAACTAAGGACCAAACTATGATTTTTATAAAGTTTAGGGACTAAAATATAAATTTTCAAAATTGAGGGACCAAATTGAAAATATTCAAAATCAATTATCAAACTAAAATTCATCATCCTTAACCTCAGAATAACATTGTTCAGAATCTCAAAATATATTTAGGGGTCAAATTATAATTTTTCCAAAGTTTAGGGACTAAACTAAAATTTTTATAAAACAAGGACCAAAATAAAATTTGATCATCTTCAACCTCAAGACTATTCTGTTCAGATTTTCCAGCAAGCTTAAAATAAATTTTTTAACCCATAAAAATTAATTTAAACAAATCAACTCATAAATTCTTATTTTTTACAACATATTAATTAATCATCTAACATTAAACCCTTTAATCATAAATCAATCTTAATAACATAAACTTCTAATTCTTATAAACCCTAATATCTTCTTTAATTATTCCATAAACAAACTATAATTGAAAGTAATATGCAAGAGAACCACTTAATTGTTACTTTCATCTTTCTTAAATAAAAAACTCAAGATCAAAAATTAAAATTTTTGATTTAAGGAGAGGAGGGTCATGGTAACTATAAGAATTAGAGGAGAGAAAATAAATTTTCTTGCAACTCTTCTTTGAATATCTAAGTTAACTAGATTGGATTTGAGCTGACTTTAACTTAGATTTAGATAAAAAATTTTGGTCTTATGTTAGTACTATTTGAAAAAAGGATTTTTCACAAAGTAACATAAGTAAAAAAAAATTTAGTAAATAAAAATCACGGTTGCTAATAGCAATAATTAGAAATAGAGATTTTCTAAAATGTGCTATAACCTTTTTCTTTTTAAAAATTGAAGAACAAGGCAGATTATGGACATGTGTCTTGCATTGAGGATGACTGCAAGTCAGTGCTGACACCATTGTGGATGAAGGGCATTGATTGGAAGAAGAAAAGTGCATAATGGAGGGACTTAATTAATTAAATTAGTAGTTGAGAGACTCAATTAGTCAAACTACAATAGAACAAGGACCACATCTACAATCAACCCTTGCACAAAAAATTGGCACCATTCAGATTTGGGTCTCGAACTTTCTTGTTTTTCATTTTAATATAATTTTAGTGTATTTAATCTTACCTGTCCCCTTTGCACATATCAGATTCGGAGTACAAGGGTTAATATGAATAACTTTCAAGACTACAGGGAGCACAAATCGTTCAACACCAAAATAATTTTTTCTTTTCGGTTGAGGTGCACAAGCAAATGCTGGCCAGATGGGAGACTCAGTGATGATATTTCTGCTGAAATATCCAAGTATCCATTGGAGTTTGGCTTATACGAACCTTTCCAGTTCGGGGGAAAGGTGAAAAACATTTGGAATCAACCTTCACTCTTATCACTCCAAGAACCAAAAGAATATAGTTCAAAGATTCATACTTTGCAGGCATTGATCATATTTATTGAAGGCTTTAGGGTATCCAACAAACTGTGGCTACACTTCGTATGAGGTAGCTTGGGGGAACAATCAAACAGTCCTCTACATGTATTCAGGAAAATATTCATCTGAAAAAAAGATTATCGAGTATAGAGCATTGTATGATTACTCTGCCTCGGTGATCACTTCCAGAGCTTGATGAAGAGGTCTCCCCGGCATATTGGCATTCCTTCTTCCTTGACCTGCAGAAGCAAAAGGGCTGGGAGGCATTGTTAATGTGTCCCCTGCTCCTTCCAACATTTGAACTACAGCATTCATTGAGGGACGATCCACAGGGTGCCATTGAATGCACCAAAGTCCTACAACTGTCAGCTTCTTGGCAATCTGTGCATCACCCTCCTTTTCAATTCTGATTCTCAGCTCTTCTCCATTATCCAGGCTGTTGTAGACCCATTCTGGGAAGTAGATTTGGTTGTTGTTCTCTATCTTATCATCGATAGTCTTCCTCCCTCCAACCATTTCAAGCAGCACCATTCCAAAACTATAAACATCAGACTTGTAGGATACATTACCGAAGTTCCTAGAGAACACTTCAGGTGCAATGTACCCCAAGGTTCCTCTAGCTGTAGTCATGGAAACTGCACTCTGATCCTTGGAGCATAGTTTCGCCAGACCGAAATCAGATATTTTTGGATTGAAATTGTCATCTAGCAAGATGTTATGAGGTTTGATGTCGAAATGGAGGATTCGCTGATCACAACCTTGGTGAAGATACTCTATTCCCTTAGCCATGCCAAGAGCAATATCCTGAAGTTTCTCCCAACTAAGAGCGGTTGCGTCGCCATGCTCTGAAGATATAAATTTCTCTAGTGATTCATTTGACAGGTAGTCGTAAACTAGAGCTCTTCTAAATCCATCAGCACAGTAGCCGACCAAGCGAATAACGTTGACGTGATGGATTTTTCCCATTGTTCCCACTTCATTAACGAACTCTTCTCCATTCCCTGTTGAATTGTTCAGGATCTTCACGGCTACAAAGATCTCATCAGAAAGCTGTCCTTTGAACACAGTTCCATACGCTCCCTGACCCAACTTGTCCTTGAATTCATTCGTAATCCTTTTTATGTCGGCATACGTATATCTGGTGGGCTTGAAAGCTTTATAATCTGCCAAAAAGTTTTCAATCCTTTTCTGATTTTCTTTCGCTGCTTTGTCAG